AAAAAAAAAAAAAAAGAAAGAAAAGAAAATACAAGGCAACAAATCATCATGCAATAAAGCAGAAATCACTATAGCTCTATGTGTAACTTTGGCCACTTTACCCCCCAAAGGTTTTTAAAAAACAAAAAATCCTATAGAATTTTAAAAATTTTCCTCGATTGATTTTAAAAGTATTTTCTTGGTAGAATATTTAAAATATATAGAAAGGTCCAAAAGAAAAAATTTCCTAGAATTTCACCCTATATTTCAATGTATTTGCTTAGGACTTTTTTTTCCATGCACATCTAAAGGGTGTACTTTTGACATGATTTTTGGGAATACCTGGCTCAGGAATAGTCACAGCTTCTACATGGAAGAGCATGTAAAGGGGTAGTTTAGCAGCAGATAACAGCTGCCCCTGGGTGCCTTAGTGGTCTTTATTGATTAAAAGAAAACAATCCTAAATGGTTTAGGCATTCCTCTAAAGATGCACTAAAACATTACTCAAGTTTTTGGCAATAAAAATATCATAATGCCAAAAATACCCCATTATTTTATTTACAGGTTTCTTGGAAGAAAAAAATGCATTTTTAATGTAATAGTTCTTGTAGTGTCTCAAATGCGTGATAAGCTTAGCTGGAACAGGAGGCTGCCATTTATTAGACGGAGAGGCAGCTTCGTTTCCTGCTTAAAACAGGATGCCCCTGTCTTGATGGCTCAGGTCTGCAACTTACTCTCTGTAACTTATCAGCTGGTGATAGCATGAATTCTTATCTTCTCTGTCTTCATAATTCTCTTAGCAAGAAGCTGGGTGAATCAATGCTAACAGCCACTGCTAGCCAAATGCCTGACAGCGTTTTCTCCTTTCAGAATCCTTCCAGGCTTCCCCAAACTGCACCCACCCTCCCAGGAGTAAAATTAATTTTTTCATTTTTTGTATTCTCATAGAGTATGTACTCAAGTCTATCACAATATTTATTGAAATGTGTACTCTATTTGTTAAATGTTCATCATCTCTCACTTCCCTCTTGCCAATACTGTAAGCCTGTGAGCTTATTACGTATGGAGACTTAAAAAAAATCTTTCTGTCATCAGAGCCTAGCCCAGGCCTAGTGGGTACTTAATACAAATGCCCGTCAGATACATAAATATTGTACTCTGAAACTGATTTTCAAACCTAAATGTGTAGCCTCCTATTTATTTCTACTACATTTTACCTTTTGGGCCTCAACATCCCAGTCGTGTTTAATTTTACTTGGTTGGAAGATACAACCCCAAAAAATCAAAAGAAAACATAACAACACTGTGCATCAGCAGAATGCAGCGATACAACTTACTTGAAGGAGGTGCAATGGAATTCATAAAAGCAATAATGGCCAAATAACGAGGAATATGTTACTTATTATTACACCGTATTCATGTTTCAGACATGAGCGAACTGAGGCTCAGAAATTGCATGATGAAGGGCAACACAGATTTACTGGCGGAAATAAGACTTCAACATGTTATGCAGGGGAGATGATAGCTGTCCTTGAAATACAGTGGTACGTATGGGATGTTAGCCAAGGCAGCCCTGGTGGAGGAGGTGTCTCTATCTGAGCCCTGTAGGGAATGGACTAGAGAATAGAGATTCCAGGGTAGAGAGCCATAGACACTGAGGACGTCACGGTGCAAGCACCAAAACAGAGTAAGACACGCCAGGGTGACCGGATGTGCGGCAGAGTAGCACACAGTCATTCTGCCCATGTAACTTGTAATTCCTTTTCCTCCAAAAGGCAGCAACTAGCTCATGTGTCGGGGCAGCTTGTCATTTTACTCACTTTTCCTGCAAAACCTATTGCCTTCTTCGTTTGCCTCCAAATTCAGAGGGACCAGAATACAGTTTGAAGGAATAATAGATATAAAAAACAGTGGAGAAAGAAATAGGGCTGTCCATAGATCCTATGGTCTGATTTTAATAACTCATAATCCCCTTAAAATACTAACTCATAATCCAGTTAATGTGCAGAAACACGAAGCATCACTTAAACTATTTTTAAAAGATCTGGGAAAATATTACACATTAATTATTTACTTTGAAGGTATTTAGCATACTAGATATGATAGAAACTCTTGACTTTTTCAATGAGAGAGAATATGGGAAGATAAAGGCTTTATTAAGAGTGTAACGATACTCATTATCAGAACAGTGGCAAAGTTAGTATAATAAAAGGAATTTGGAGGAATTGAATATTATAAATGAAAAAACTTTTAAGGCTTGTGTCCGAGAATTGTGCATGCTGTGTGTTTTTGGCATGCTTTAAATTCTTGAGCCAAGTCTGCTGTAAAAATTCTGCAAACTTGTTAAGCCTTTTGCATCCCAATCAGTTTCTAAGTGTTATCAACTAATAAAATACATTCCATAACAAACATTTGGTAAATATTTAGCATAATTATTGAATTGTACTTACCTCAAGGTTTTATGTTCTTTTTCTTCCACTTCTAAAAAAGCATACTATAGATTTCAGTAGAAGTTGGCAGTCACACAGATGTTGAAGTGTGAATTTTGGATGTTTGCAGGTTGTAAATATGTGGAATTTTGATCGTGAATGGGAATTTAACATTACAACCTTACATGGTTGGAAAGATTCTGCAATAGCAACAATTTCACATTTGCATAAACAGCTTTATTATAGTTGGAGTAATATATAGAAAGAACACAAATTACTCTGACCAGAGTTAAACCTATAAAGCAATCACATTTGAATGAGGATTTTACTTAAAATCATAGACTCATCAACTCTCAAGTGTTTTTATCTTTCACATGAGACAAATTTAGCCTGTTATGAATAAAATCCCTTAATATCTGCATTTTCTGGCTGGCATATGTATACTGCCTCAGTGGAACTTTAAAATAAAATCATACATATGAAAAAATTAAAAAGAGGCAAACAACTAAAGTATTAGACCAAAAAAAAATCTAGTTTTTTACATCAAATAGTAAAATAATTGTCAAAAGTGTTTGCTTTAATTGAATTTTAAACCCTAGAATCTTTTTCGGCTCTTGATTTCACTGTAAGAGTGAGAGAGTGTAGAAACAACTAGAACCTTTTGAAATCTACCCTTCTCTTACCTTTTGTCGATGTTAGTACCATCTCTGTCACTTTGTTCAGTGGAGGTATAGTTTTGATCATGCAATTTTACAGATATTTTGTTAAAAGATTCAGGAAGTTAGGTATCTACATTCCAAATGCAGCAAATTACAAGGTGTTCTTGATTAATCAGAATGCTTTATGACACATCTTTTCAAGCCTCGGGTTGAAAAAATTTGTATGTCCCCATCAAAGGTGTGATATTCAATTGAAGAATTATGCAAGTTAGTTCTGCATTTCAGATAAATGTTGGATTAATTATTTGGCTCCTAGGAAACTTCACTCAGGCATGTCTTAGTTGCATACTGTTTGAAAATAAAAAGCAATTAAACGGAGAAATACAAATATAGTATTGCATGATATTGGTATTTTTATTGTAACTCTAAGTCAGTTTTATATAGCAAAACTCCGAACTTCAGTTGAGGAAGACTTTATAGTTTTTAACTGGTTATTAACTCCATCTCTTAAAAATATTAATTTGTAAATTTGAAGGGAATGAAACAAAATTGTCTAATCATTTGAAAGTTGGTAAGACTATTTAGAAGAAAAGCACTCATATACAGAATGTTATTTTTCTAGTCTCATTCACATTGATGTTAACTTGTCAAGGCTATTCTCATTTCTATATATTTTACCCACTCTTAAAACACTGAATAGAGTTTTGCTGCCTTAAATTCAGAAGCAGAGTGTTAATTCAGGATAGAGAGCAGTAGAAATGTGAAAGTCTTTGTATTTCTCTCCTGACAAATCAATGGCTTGTACAGATACAAGGGAAATAAATGCATTTTACCAGTTAGAGTTCTTTTTTAAAAAAAGGGATGAGGAAAGATGAAGGGAATACTACTAATACTTTTGCAAACATTAGCGAGAGATTGGAGTATATCTCAGCTGATTTTAGTCTTTACTTTAAATTTGAAAACTAAATGAAAGCTGCAATTTAATAATAATAGGTAGCATTTATGGAAAGGTTTCTGTAGGTTCGCACTTCTTTCCACCTATAATCTCATCAGATTTTTATGCACAACCCTATGAGGAAGGAACAAATATTACCCCCATTTTACAGGTTGGTTAACCTGGGAAGAGATAAGTTATGGAAGCTGTCAATGTTTATACTGCAAGCATTTTGATCCCAGGCAGGCTGCCTCTAGATTACACACTCCATTTGCTTGCCCTTCTGTAGCTGAAATCTGTATGACTGCATCTTGTTTTCAGCCCCAAGCAAAGGGCATGACAAGTAATTTTGAACATCGTTCATTTCTTGTAGATGATCTGAAAAGAAAGATAAGGGAAAAGAAAGAATTTAACATCACGTGGGATTCCAGTATCCAGTGACAATGATGGTGCACCTTTTGCAGTGTGTATTTCAAGGTTTTCAATACTTAGGGACATACCTACACATTTGCGTATACTTGTCGACCCCTTAGCTTTTCTCAGGAGAATAACGCTCATTGACCAATCAATCAATCAAACCCTGTTGCTTCTCACTCTGGAGTGTACTACATAAAGTAGCCCAGATAAGAAGCAAATCAAGGGTGCAAATGTCTGCACGTGTGTGTGTGTGTGTGTGTGTGTGTGTGTGTGTGTGCGTGTGCGTGTGTGTTTCGCCCAACTGTTGCTTGGTACCCTAGAGTGTACTACATAGAATTGCCCTGATAAGAAGCAGCTCAATAGCAAACCAAAGTCTGCGAATGTCTGCCTTTGTGTGTGTGTGTGTGTGTGTGTGTCCAAATTGTTGCTGATCTTCTTCTTTGTCCACACTAATGTAATATTCGTGACACTTCTTTCTCCACGAGCTGTTATAGGGCAGTCTCATGACTCCATTTTATTAATGGTTGCTTTAGAGGTTGACTGCTTAGATCCTGGAGATATTCTCAAGGGCTTTCCAAATAAATTTTTGGATGCCAAGTAACACACATTTAACCCAGATGATCTTAAATATACTTTCCAAAATTTGTTCTGACCCCTGCCTGCTCCTGCCTCTTTCTCTTACTATGGCGCTTCTTAGGACTTCTCACCATTGATTTCCAGTTAGCTGCCTTCCAGCGACGTTGTGGGATTGCCTTTTCTGGCCTTCCTGAGATTGGGTGACTGATTCTAGGCAACGAGGTGCAACATTCAATCACTGGTACAAGACACTCTAGAGGACTGTGGCTTCCACAAATTTGAGTCAGGTGTGTAATTTTAAAGTTTCTAGTAGCACATTAAAAATGTTAAAGAAACAGGTGAAATTCATTTTAATAATATATCTTCTTTAACATAAGATATTTAAAATATAATTTCAACATGAAATCCATATAAAATTATTGAGATATTTTATATTCTTTTTTAATTACTATTTTTATTTGGACAAAGTCTTTGCAATCAGGTATATATTTAGCACTTATAGCAATATCAATTCACCCAAGCCCCATTTCAAGTACTCAGTAGCAACACGGGCCAAGCGGCTACTAAGTTGGAGAGGCCAGCTCTGGAGTGCTCTTTGATTCTGCTGCAGTGTAGCCAAGTTTGAGGTGGTGACTTCAGAACTCCCTACTGCCAAGAAGGACCTGGGACACGATGAGCTCTAAACATTGGTTGTTATAAGCCTTTAAAAAAGTTTTGTGTTTTTGTTATATTACAGCGTACTCTACCCTATCCTGCCTGATCTTTCTTTCTTTCTTCAAAATTGGACCACGCACTGTCTAATGTTTCTCACCTGTTTTTGCATCTAACACTTTTAAAATATCCTTCTATTTGTTATACATTCCTCTCCATCACAGCATCTTTTCTATCAGCTACATAACATTGCATGGTATGCGAATGTCATAGTGGATTTAACCAATTGCTCCACTGTTGCACACTTAGAAATTGTTCCCATTTACTCAGTTGCATGATGCTGTAATATTTATCTTTATAGTTAAGTCGTAGGGTATAATAATAATAATGATAATTTTTTTTTTTTTTTTACCAAAAATTCCAAGAAATCAAGTGGTTGGGATAAAGGCACAGCACTTTCTTTAGTGTATGATAGTTATTACTGGTTGTTTCTTGGGAAAGTATCAATGTATTCATTTACCACCTGATGTATGGCACAGAGTATTAGTATGTCTATTATTTAAATTAAATACTTTTTCGTATGTGAGTTAGACAATCGTATTTATTATTTTGCTAATTGCTTGTTCATTCCAACTGTCTTTTCTTACTGACTTGTTTGCCTTTCTTATTGATTTGTAATAATTCTGCCTGTGTGTATGCTATTAAACTTTTGCTGTCATAAGTATGTGCTCTTCATTTGTCATTTTTTCATTTTTTAGATTTAATTAAAAAGAATACACGACTGTATACGATTTTGAACATGCTTTTAGATATAACTTGTTTTTAAAAATGAAAATTTTGATTCTTCAGAAGTAAATGTGGATGCAAAAGCATTGGTTATTGCATGTCAAATATTCAATTTTATTTAAAAATACAGTACAAATAAAGACTACTCCGCTTAGGTCCAAACTAAAGCATTACTGAACATTTTTAGTTAATCATCACATGTTCTTTCATCCTCTTAGAAAGCTACCTGTGAAATCGTCCTGCATTACAGAACAGGATATGCATTATACATCCTAAATGATACATCCTATATTTTTTCATATGAAATACCTTCTCTAAGTTGTGCATTTGCTTTCCACACGGAAAACGTGTAACACCCAATCAATATTTCTAGAATAATTTTAGACTAACTCAAACTAAGTATGTGTTATGGTTTGTTACACCAACATTACTTCTGATGATAATTTAAATTAAAAAATGAGAGTTAATTCTCCTTTTCCACTTGGCCATTTTGGTCCAATGACTCATGAATTCTTTCTAAAAGATTCCCTTTGTTGTAATTTGCTTGGTGGTCCCTGATTCTTGTTATCATTCTATGCTTGCAACATCTGCCTGTTGTTTCTGGGAAAGTGTATTGTGAACTACAAGCTTGTGCTATTTCTTACCACTTGTATGTCATTCTTAACACACACAAGATGATTTGCATTCATTTGTAATCATTGTTCTTTGCAAAATACTGGTAAGAGAGTTATTATAATAACCACCATTTTGCCCATGGGGAAACTGAGACCCAGAAAGGTTAAGTGACTTACCCAAAGGCATACAGTGAATTGATGGCAGAGCTGGAATTGCAGGCGAGCATTCTTGGAGGTTGCCTATTGTTCAGCAAACTCAGCAACAAGGCCTCTTGGCGCTGTGTTCTTTCTTCCAAGCGTCACATTTTCTTATTCCTTCACTCCACAATTCTTTAAGAACACGTGACATGCTCATAATACAAGGTTAGAATAATAATATCTTTTCTTCTATTTTTTCCTTCTCTTGCATAAACGTATTAATCCAACAACTTGGAAATAGGTCTGTAACAGAGAAATCATTCACGCTTTTTAAATGGAAAACAATTGAATGGCATCATTGAAGAATCCAAAAATGTATCTTGTCTTTTCCCTTAGGGGATGGGAAATGCACTCAAGTGAAAAGGAAAACTATGTACTTTTGTACACTCACTTATGTTTACATAATAGGAGGTGAAGAAGAAATATTAATAGTATCACAAATAACCGCTGTGATTTCAAAGTCTTTGTAATTGTTCAGAGTGACTAAGCAGTGTCAGTCTGTAGGGATATTAATTCCAAGTGATCCTTCGAATTTATTTTGGCAGTACAATTTTTTTAACCACTCCAGGTATTATAAAACTGTTAAATAGTATGAAACTGTATTAATTAAACTGTTGAAATAACAGGTTATTAGTGGAAAAGGATTTTCCTGCTTTAAATAATCAAAGAACAGAATGAATTATCCTTTGCAATATTTTCTTAAAGTATAGACTAGTATTGTTTTCAAGTTAAGATTTTGGGGGCAGTTTGGGAATTTTGCATGTTTGTATGTTTCTATATTGGTTTGTGGATGTCAAAATCAATACTGTATTCAGAACTAATAATATACTATGACCTAGAAATTCCTATCTCCTCCTTCTCCCATGCTTCCATTTTCCATTTTAATAAAATTTTTGTTTGTCTATTTAGAATACTGTTTGTAGCTAGTTTCCCTACATTTTAAAATATACTTTTAGCTTTTCTTTTATGTAAATTATTAAAAAATGTGACTTTAATAGGGATCTTTGGAAAGAATATGAAATATATGAACAGAATTATTGTTCAACTTAATTTAGGGCCTGAATTTAGAACATATACCATGTTCTTTTTGCCTCCAGATGGTTTGTTAGTAACCCCCTGCTCCAAGAAGTTATCTTCTCCACCCTCAGGAAGCAAGTCATGTGTATTAAAACGCAATCAGATTAAGAGAGAAGCCTAATCCGACTTACCTTAGAAGTAAGTTTTCTTTCTCCAGCTTTCAGGAATAACACTTCAATACGTATTTATCTAATTTTTTGGTTTTGTATAAAGAGTATTTAGTCACATTGCTTCCTGGAGAGGCTACTCATATCTGCATTTTCTTTCTCCTTATTCCACGGTGTGCTTCCTACCTCAGGAAAATTGGAGATAAGAAGAACTCACCCTCTTTTAGGCAACTGTAAACTTCAGATTTCAGAGAATAATAAAAAAGGAAAATCAATCAAACAAACAAAATATCCTTCAGATTACTCCTAAGTCAAGTAAGTGGCTCATGCCTTTTATATGAAAGTATAACCGTTCTCTCTCCCATCATCTCCTCTCTGCCTCTCTAGCCACCCCTTTGGATTATTTACAGTTCCCCCTTCTCTACCCACCCCGCCAGTTTTGGTTTTTTGTTTGTTTTTTGTGGCTACCTCCTCTCTACCCAACAAAGGAGAAAGCCTAAAAGACGTTGTCACTTGGGGGCAGGGGTGTTCCACCATCTCTGGGAGGGTGGGGGGAATCAGTTTGAACAAGTAACATCACTGGCCTGTGTATTCTCTGCTCACTCCCTGTCGCTGAGGCTGGGGACCAGCCAACCACCTTAACTCTTGTACCTTGTACCTTGGAACTGTGGAAATCAAACTGTCCATCCACAGTGGGGTGGGGGAGACCAGGAAGGCAGGCTTTACAAACACTGGCTTTCTCTCTCTCTTCTCTTTTCTTTCTTTCTTTTTTTTTTTTGAGACAGAGTCTCACTCCGTCACCAGGTGCCAGGCTGGAGTGCAGTGGCGTGACCTCAGCTCACTGCAACCTCCACCTCCCGGGTTCAAGCAATTCTCCTGCCTCAGCCTCCAGAGTAGCTAGGACTACAGGCACACGCCACCATCCCCGGCTATTTGAAACAGGGTTTCACCATGCTGACCAGGCTGGTCTTGAACCCCTGACCTCGTCATCCACCCACCATGGCCTCCCAAAGTGCTGGGATTACAGGCATGAGCCACCGCGCCCAGCTCCTCTCATTTTTAACAGCAAAACTTGGGCCTTGTGCGAGTCCTTGTGTGATGTGATTTGGAAATCTTAAAGAGGATAAGGGATTCCGGGAGGCCCTCAAATGCTCAGCAACCAGCAGAGTGTGTTTTTGCTTAGGGTAGTAGTAAATTACCCACACCCTCATCCCATGTCCTGCGTTCAGCTCTTTGTCCTCTACATGATCATACTCTGACCTCCAAAATAATTAAGACAAAGAGAAATTCCTTCAACCTCAGCACGTGCAAACACAATTTCAGAGGGAAATAGTTACCGTGTCTAGCAACCAACTCTTTGGGCTGATTTAATTGAAATTTATGCTTTTGGGAAGAACATGACTGGCTGAAGACTTTGGCAGCCCCAAGCCTGCAATAGACAGAAACTCCTGAATCGCCCTCTGAAAACCAGGTATCTGGCTACATTTATTGATGTTATTTTGGCTAATTTTCTTTAACATACATTTTTTTTTTCTAGTTAAAACTTCATTGAAAACCTCATGTAAGAGTCCCTCTCTCTCCAGCCCCCCTTCTCCCTCTATTTCCCTGTCTGTTCCCTGGAGAAAAAAAAAAAAAAAAAAGAGCATATTGACGCTAAATAAAAACCAGAAAGAGCAACCTTATGTCATTTATTTCTCTGAAATTGAAAAAAAAAATCATTTTTTCCCTTAGAAAACTGTTCTGATTAAAAATAAAAACACTTCAAAAGGTATTTTGCATTATATGTATGTCTTCCGTGAGAAACAACACCCACATCTAGTGATTTTCTCATCTTGTCCCCGTCTGACAAGATCTGTACTAAAATATATTAAAAAAGAAAAAAAGATAAAGAAGAAAGAAAAAGGGGGGAGGAAAAGCTGACTGAGAGCAGCCGCAATCTCTCCCTCAGCCGGGGGCCTTTCCTTTCACTCCGGGGCAAGGGTGGGGACCTCGGCCTGGGCTTCCTGAGGCTCCAGCTCTGAGCCCCCGCCACCTTCTGACTCTGGGGCCCCCTGGGTTCCCCGACTTCAGCTCCCACCCCATTCATTCCGCTCGACCTGGGAGCCGGGCGGAATTCCCTCCTGGAATTCACCCCGGGACCCTGCTATTGTCCCTGTCGTCTGACCTCTGCTACGCTAAGTTCCAACAAGGTGATCTGGAAAAGGCGCCACTCGCTCCCTGGCGGGCTCCCCGACTCGCCTTTTCGCGCCCTCGGCAGCGGCTCTTTTCTCCAGGGGGGACCACCAAGCGCTCTGCTTTGCACGGCCAATTTATGGCTCTGTCAGGGGCTCGGGCGCCGCGCCCATTGTGCGGAGCGCGGCGCCTGACCCCGCCGCCAGCGCCTTGTAGCCCGATTGTTCCCTCATTAGGGCGGCCGGGAGCGGCGGAAAGGCTCGCTGCCCTTTCCCACAATCGCTGATAATGTGCGGCCGCAGGCTTGTCACAGGCGCGGGCGAGGAGAAATGGAGAGGATGTGCCACCGAGTGGGGCGCAAGGGACATGGCATTCCCACGCGAGGAAGGGGGAGAAACAACTACGCAAATCCCCAATCTCAAACTCCAGACCCTCCGTAGCCTGGAGTAGTTTTTTCTGGCGTTTTGGTGGCGTTTGTCAAGACCCATAGGAAATATGCTGGGGGAAAACTCCACAGCGCCCTGCAAAGAACTAAATCAACGCTAGAGCCCACGAGTTCGAGGCTGCAGTGAGCTGGGATCGCGCCACCGCACTCAGGCCTGGGATACATTTTTAAGACCCTGTCTCAAAAATAAACAACAACAGCAATAACAAAAACCAAACCAACATAGACACAAACACCCCTAAATCAAGAGTTGCAAAGATCCAGCAGCCAGCGAACTTGGGCAGAGGAGAGCTCTGGGCACAGGGGCAAGAAGTGCCCGGATGCGAGCGGGGCTGAGCGGTGCCCTGCCGGGAGGAGCCGGCTCTGCGGCCGCTTGGAGAGGAAGGAAGCGGGCGGGGCTGTGAAGCTGGCCTAGGGCGATCAGCACTTGCACAGGCTGCCTTCAGGAGCAGGAGCCATCCGCAGTATAGCACTCTCCCAGCCTGGCTTCTAGAAGGAGCCAGTTGATCTTTTTCCCTTTCGTGTTGTTTGCCCCAGTGTGCCTGTTGCTGCCGTTCTTAGTGAAAATGCCTCCCAGAGAGGTGAGGGAGCCTGAACACCACACTTCCAAGCCCTCACTTTTCTTTCTGGTCAGCAAAGTGAGGACACAGCCCAGACAGCGCTTCTCTCTCCCCCTCCTCCTCTGGCCTGTTGCGTTGAAAGGGCCTTCTCTAAAACTGCAAATAAAGAGCACAGCTTCAGAGAAACCGGGCAAAGGCTCAAGGAGAAGGCACAAAAAGGACCATCTCTGTCCTGGCGCTTAGATGTATACAAAAAGCGACGCCCAGATTCTTAGGTCTGTGAAATGCTATTTGAGTTGAGACACAATACCTGCCTACAGGGCATGCATAGAAAGTGATTTTAGGTGGCAATAACTAGGGTAATTCTCTTTATTTTATAAACATCATTAACTCCTGTTATGAGATGATGCAAAAATATTCAACGTTTCTTTTGCACTTTCTCAAAAAAGTGAATTCTGGGGCTAAGGCCTTAAGCAACTACATTTATTAGCAGGTGATTCAAAATTGCACACCCAAAGAGAAACTTCAAGAAGTTTCAAGGATACTATGCACAGACTTCTAACTTTAAAACTCTTCTCAAAACAGTGCTTTTGAATTGAAATGTGTTTATTCTCTTAACAGAATATAAAGCTAGAATTGAATAGAAAAGAAAGCTTATATTCCAATATATGATTTGTATAAAATATGTTGAAAGATATCAATTATCTATATTTCAACTACATTTAAAAAATTCTAAGTACTCCAGAATTTTAAAATTGTTCTTAAAATGAGCTAAAGATATTTTCATAGTAGAAAAATGATGTGAATTAAGCTTTTTTTAAAAAAGCCCAAGTCTCACGTTTTGGATGCACGTTGTTCTAATATTTTGTCCAAAGCTTTCTTGACAGGGTAAAAAGGGTTTTAGGTTCTTGTGTTTAATATCATAACAAGACCTAGGGCACAAGTTGTATTAGTTTATAAAATCCATTGCCAAGGTGAATTTGGTTGTGTCAGTTTTCTTTCTTGTTTTTACCAGACGGCTTTCTATTGACTGTTAACCTTGAAATCAAACCTGTAAAGTTTTTTATTTAAAACAAAATAGTGATCTTAATTTGAGGTACATTGTGTGTAGTCTTGAAGTTTGTGCTGGCTGGTTTATGGTGGTGGCGAGTGTTTCTTTGTAACTTTTAGTTTTCTCTGAGTCTTTAAATTTAACTGTTCCTGTAGTTCTGAGCTAGTATATCTGCACTTGATCTGGGCCCAAACATATTTTGATTGTAAATAAAAAGTCTTCTTTTATGAGGATGTTCACTTCACAGCTTGAGCAGTGTAATTTTTATACAGGTCTCAGCAATCAATAAAAAAGCCACAGGAGGAATGATTTATCTTGTTGGTTACAGAGACTGTCACCGAGAGAAATTGTAAAAGATCAATTTACACAACCTGGTGTGAGAATGTTATTGATATAACACGGTTGATCGGTTTCTGGTTGTCTGTGCGCAAGCACTGCGGAGGGAGCACCACCATGACTCGCCAAGGTCTTAATAGACTCTGCGCTCCATAAAGTGGACACCGAGCCAGTGACGGCGGAGATGGCCCGGCGGGCGCCCACCGGCATTGGCTGCGCTCCGATTACTTCGTTAAGCAGTGTCATGCTTCTTCTTCTCTCTCTCTCTCTTTTTTTTTAAATTTTCCCTCCTACTGTGAGAACTGTTCACTTGGAGACTCCCTGTCTTAATTACAAAGAGCCCTTTTAACCATAGGTCACAGGACTTGGCTCTCTTGACAGGAAATAGGGAAACAAGCTACCTTCCTGGAAAAAAAATTCAAACTTCCACTTCTCAAATTAGTTAAATGAAGCTTGTCGGCGGTTGGGAGTTGAGCCTTATGACAGTTGGCTAATTGCAGTTGGTACATTAACTATGTTTTAACCAGAGCTGTTTGGAATGTAAGGAGATTAAAAAAGTAAAGCAAGCCTAGGCACTTCCAACGAAAAACGCTTAAAATAACCACAGAGTTAATATTGGTTTTATTTGCTATAGGTA